GAACCAAGAAAGCCAATTATGAGATTTCAAGCTAAAGAGTTACAGACTAAGGTTGCTGGACTTCAATGACAAATAAAGAAGCTTTTAATAGAGGAAGAGCTCAAGCCCAAAGAAGATGAATTGTCCAAGTTTTATAATTATTTAGTGGTCCAAATTGAAGTCCAAGAGGAGGAAGATTGGGTCACCAAATCAGCCCTTGAAGTCCACCAAAAGGGCTCAAAATGAGCTTAAAAGAGGTCCAAAAGGGGGTGTTTCAAAAGGAGCCCAATTGGAGTCCAAACCAATGGCCCAAACTAGTAATTTTAAGGTCCAAAGCTGCCCAAAGGGATTTGGTCTCCCACCCTCTTATATTTTTGTATCTTTTATTCCTTAGCAACCATCCTACCTAATTTTGATAACTTTTGTTACCCCTTAGCAGCCCCTACCTAATTTTGATGACTTTTGTTACCCCTTAGCAATCCCCTACCTAATTTTAAGGGCTTTTACTCCTATAAATAAGGAGTTCTTCTCATTCATTAGGCACTTTATTATTGATTAAGAATATTATACTTTGAGAGTTCTTTTGAACCTTTGTTACTTATGCTTTGAGCTTTATCTTTCAACCTTTACTAGTTCTTAGTTCAAGGTAGTAAGATAACTTCTTTATTGTGATATCATTGATTACTTTTTGATATTCTTAGAAGGCGATTAATACGAGTTATTAATTGTTGTCTCAAGTTACTCGTAAAGGGGTCAAGATCCGAATCTATTGTTTTGATTTGTTTTTAAGTAAAGAAGTTTGATTTCGTCAATAAATCAAAATGTTGTTGCTTGGATCTTATCAAGGCTATAGAACTTGCATTCATAGAAAGTCTTGAAATTCTTTCCTTGAATTTTTCCATATCCTTTATTTTCTGTACTTTGATTCTAGTTGTTCAATTCCTTATTGTTATTGCTTCCGCATTTACATCTCAAATTACTCTAGTTTGGTTCCCCGACCTTGTTGTTATCACCAAATCCCTAATTTCTACCATGAAAATCCTAGATTTGATGTTGAAAACTTATGAAATATAATGGGTAATTGAAAAGAAGTAGATTAAAGTCACTTACCAATGAATATAGAAAGAAAATCTCTTGAAAAAATCGCCTCTAGGGAGTTTAGGGTTGAGTGTTTGAAAGAAATGAGCTAAATCTCGTTTCCCCCCTCTTTTATCAATTGCGAATGTCGCAATTGCGATATCTTGTTCGCAATTGCAAGAAAGAGGTCGCAAATGCGAACCCATCTCAGAAAATGCGAACCCATACCACTCGTAAATGCGGACCATTCCTTTGCATATGCGAAACTAGCCCAGGACACACTGAGTCGCAAATGCGACTCTGCCTTCGCAAAAGCGGTAGCTGCAAGTTCGCAAATGCGAACATGTACCTCGCAAATGCGAGACTCCCCTAATCCAGCCCATGCTCGCAAATGTGAAGCCTTGTTCGAAAAAGCGAGACTCCCAAATGCAAGATCTGCAGCAAAGCACCAGCAACAGTAAAAGCATCACTTATTCTTCTAAGTCTAAAATCACTCTGTAGCATATCCGAAACTCACCTGAACCCCTCGGACTCTAAACCAAAAATGCATACAAGTGTAATAGCATCATACGAACTTGCTCGCGCGATCAAAGCATCAAACTAACACTTAGAACTACGAATCGGACACCAAAATAAATGAAATTTTTAATGAAACTTAAGAACTTTCAATTTTTCAATCGGACGTTCGCATCATGCCAAATCAACTTCGTTTTGTACCAAATTTTGCAGACAAGTCATAAATACTATAATGAACCTATACCGAGTTTCGGAACTGAAATTCAAACACGGTAGCAACAAAGTCAACTTACGGTCAAACTTAGAAATTCTTTAAACCTTTAAATTACTAGTTTTCAACAGATTGCGTTAATTCAAGTTAGGAACTTACGAATTCGATTTCGGGCATAAACCCAAGTTTCAAATCACGATACAGATCCGTGGGGACCGTCAAAATACTGATCCAGATCCGTTTACATAAAATGTTGACCGTAGTCAACTCAAATGAGTTTTAAGGCACGATTTCACATTTTCATTAATTTTTCTCATAAAAAGCTTCCGGAAAAAGGATATGAATTGCGCACGTAAATCGAGAAAGGATAAATAAAACTATTCGAGGTCTCGAAACACATAAATGAATGGTAAAACTATAAATGACCTATCGGATCATTACATAAATATTCAACAAGGAGGGATTATATCCTAAAACATAAACAAAGATAAAATAGTAAGAAACCCGTCCTAATTACTAGTATTTTCTTAGCGTAAGAAGGGAGTACCATTTACCTCCGTGAATCTTCATAGTTCATAGACGGCCCTCTAAACCTTTCCAAATATTCCATCGAGCCACCTGAGCTAAGCTTGTTTTATACTGCAACTCTATTCAAAGTGTGTCACTTAGACACGTTTTGCTCATAGAATCTACAAACTAATGAGCGTATAGTTCACACGCGATGACATGGCAAAACGACCAATTAAATAACACTATTTGGATTTGACCCCAAATAATGTTTTCTAAACTTTTGACAAGTCTTCATGATTACCGCTGATCATAGAGATTTAACATAAATTTGGTTAAACTTGAAAAAAAAAAATTGAAGTTGTGTTGAAAATAATTTTTGAAAGTTAAAAGTAGGGATGTTCGTCGGTCGGTACGGTATGGTATTTAGATATTTCGGTTCGGTATTTTCGGTATTCGGTTTCCTAAAATGCTATACAAAATACCGTACCTAATTAAATTCGGTATGGTTCGGTTTTTCTCCTTTCGGTTTCGGTTTATTCGGTACGGTAACTTCGGTTTGTTCGACTTCAATATTAACTAGTGTATAGAGTCATAAACTGTAATATTCTTAATTAAAGTGCTCACAAATATAAAAATAAAAATGTTCTACATAAAAAAAATTGTTCAAAACCAGCAAATATCAACCCATCGAGAGAAAAAAAGTACATAAATGAATAAATTTAATCATTGAAAATGTCTTATTGCTTGCTTAGAGCTAATTCCCGAACTTAAAGAATACAACATGAACTAATCCAACAGATGCAATTCAATACACGAGAAGAAATATTCCAAAATTGTAAAAGTATTACTTTAAGCTGCTTGGCATCCTAGAGAATAAGAGTCAAAATCTACAGCCTACATTGTTCCTCAATTTTCCTAAAGAAGTACATAGGCCCCAAAGAAAAGTATTATGTAACTTTGTATGTTATAGTTAATAATATGTGTATTGTGTAACGTATTATATATTACGGTACGCTATCGGTATTTCGGTATTATTTTTTTAATGATCAAATACCATACCTAATACCAAAAAATTTTAAAAACTTAAACGAAATACCAAAATGTCGAATACCAGATACCAAAATTTTCGATTTCGGTATGGTAATTCGGTATTTACCAAATTATGCACACCCCTAGTTGAAAGTGTGTTGGGCATGCATTTTATTTGAGAAAAAGTTGAAGTTTTGAAAAATTTCATCCAAAAACTACCATAAACCAGATTTTGCGAACTTGAGAAACAAAATTCAGAATTTTTTGAAAAACTGGTCATATTTCATGAACAAATAATATTTTTAAAAAAAATATTCGATAAGAAGTTGCCAAAATCTATGGCCAAACATAAGCTTAAATTAAAGAACCATGAAATTCATCCAAACAAACAACCTTTTTTTTATTAGTTTCGCATAATATTTTTTATATCTAGTTTACCGGACAAATTAATTAAGAAGAATTAAACGAAAGAATTGCTCGCAACTGCTTAAACTAAATATAGTTGGCGGATATATAATTTTTCTATAATATATGTGTAAATATATACAAATATACCAATTAGAAAAAGTAAATATAGTAAATTTGACCGGCTATCTAATGCTAAATCAGAAAGACATCTTTTCAATGCTTGGAAAATAGGTAGGAAAAGAAAATTATTTGAACATATGGTGCCTAACGAGTCCATATTTGTGCCACTTGGGACAAAATTAATTTAAAAGATATCATTAGCACTATTTGAGGTAACTAAACAAGATAAATTAATTAAAGGAAAGAAATTATATGATGTACAATATTGTTGGCTTCCCTATAATTCTTTGTTTAAAGTACAACTATTAAAATTGAATTCAAACAAGTTAGTTCTCCAAATTCCTCGCCATAAATGTATATTTTGTAGAATTTGTAGGTAGGGTATAATCTCATCTTAATGACTAGAATGTTTACCAAATTAAAGTTTGGGCCAACCACCAAAACAGACTTTGACAAACCCACTAACGACTTCACTTGACCAAATTGTGCAACTGCCCTCAGGCCCTCCAATTGATAATTGGATATTTTAAATTAAAAGCGGGGNTTCAAAGTTTAAATAGTTCAATTAATTTGAGTACTTGAAGTTGTGAAAATTATAAAGGTATGTCAAATACTTTAGAACTTTCCAAAAGTGAAAAAGGATATCATGGAATGCACAGGGTATACCAATTCTGGTTTTTTTTTGGCTATATTTATAAAATTTTCTAGCAACTGCCGTGTATAGAAAGAAATTTAAACCCTATTATGTGTCTGCATGCGCTTTTGCCAGATAAAAAAGCTCATTGGTCAACACTAACTACCTAAATACCTAATACAACTAAAAGTCAACCTTCTATTATATTATGCATTTTTACTATCAAGGGTGGAGCTAAGTATAGGGACAAACTCAATATATAACTTTAGTTTAAATATTATATTTTTATTAAAAAAATGAATATAAATATAATATTAATTTAAAATTCAATAATTTAAAAATAGTAGAATTCTAAATTCATAAACTTGAAAATATTGGTTATATACTACCTATAATAAATATACCACTTTGGTATCGTGTTCAGCTGGGCTTTGTCTTACTAACTTCACTATTACATCAGACAATCTAAACCTATATAACCTTCGAACCCTATATATATCTAAAGAAAGTAAACGACTTCATTTCCATAACTATTCTCTGCTTCATTTTATATCAGCTAATATTTTTCACTTCGCCTAATTAGGGTAAGCATGCAATTTTTTTCCCCTACTTTTTTTTCTTATCCCTTGCCATCATAGTTTTTTCTTGCATGGTTTCTAATACTCTTTGATCCAGTTTATTTGGCCCTATTTCTTTATTATCTCATTTAAAAAAATAACATTTTTGTATATTTAAAAATAGTTTACTTTATAGCCATAAAAACCTCATGTCATGTATAAGAGCATGAGTTCAAAATCTTTTGTTCTTTTTTCCTTAAACTCAATCAATTTAGCCATATGAATTGAAACGGAGGGAGTAAATTTATGATAGCTTTTCGTTAATGTTGATGTTAGTTATGTACTTCTGTTGCAGAGTTAAAACAAGAATATGATAGGTTGGAAGAGGCAATGGCGTCTGGTTTCATTGTTTTGTGCTATTGTTTTCCAGCTTTTCTTGCTTGTTTGTGGTTCAACGACGGACCATTTTAGGTATTCCTGATGACTTGTTCTTTTAAATTTTTACCAATATAAGCTATGATCTTTATATCGTATAATGACAATTTGAGATGAATTTAACTGAAAAAATATAGTCAGTGAGGATTTAGATAGTCAACTACATGCTTGTGTGGGATTGAGACGTTATTATTATTGTTGTTGTTAAATAAATGTATGAACATGTTCATCATATCCATTCAGAAAAAAGAAAAAAGGAAAGAGTTTAAATTTTATACATTGATGGCCTAAATTCATTTGAACTATTAGATCATTTAAAAGCCTATTACAGGCAATTCTCTGCAGTATGCATCATTTAATGTACGTAGATTATGGTAATAAGTGACCTGTTACAACAGATAAACTAACTGAAAGTTGTAAAAAAAAAAATCTAAAAATGTTAGTGTTCTAATTTAATCTATAAGGAAAGGAGAAACTCATGCATTTCCAACTTGTGTCATCCTTTTAGTAAATCAGCCATCAAACAAGACAATTGATCTCCACGAAGAATTTAACTTTATTTGTTTATTTCTTCTTTACTTTCACTAGATGATACTTCCATCCTATAAAGTCATTAGCAATTGAAAAAAGTTACATTCATTTACTACTTTCTAGCACGAAAGTCGTCAGTTATGGTCCTAAAATTGATTCTGTTTTCCCTTTCTTTTCACATTCTACCTCTCCATTCTTAGTTTTATTATGAATGTAAGGAAAATTAGCGCAATTTCACAACTTTCATTGTTTACTTTTTCTAACCGGTATGAAGATTATATATGATTATATACATATATACATGGGCGGATTTACAGTGTACTGAAAGGGTTCACGTGAACCCGTGATCTTCGACAAAAATTATGTATATTATGTGTATAATTCATATAATTTGTCTAAATACTACCTTTGTGAACACATGGTTTGATTTGTTGGGTTGGTTCACTGGTTATGTAATTGAAATTTTTCCACAGGGACCAGGGATCAATCCTTATAGAGCTCATTTATTTTATTTTTTTATACTATCAAACTAGTGGTGAACCCATCCTTAAAAAATCTTGAGTTCGCCACTGCATATATACTTTGATTATACATACTATTTAGATTAATTCTTCTAAATTATTCTATTATAGATTTGTAGTATTATCTGAATTCGATTTACACTAAAATGAAACCTGTGGTAATGTAAGTTTAACTTCTATTCGCTGACAATAAAAGATTTTTGATGGTCAACTAAAAGTTAATTATATATAGTAACCTGAAAATTAAGACAGACAACAACGGAAAACATATTATTTCAGTTGTACACTCAGTACAAAGGAATTATAAATCCGTGGTAACGTTGAGCTTTTCTTTGCAGAGGTTGACTTGTTATCTTATTAAATTCTATTTTGTTTCAAGAAATTAAATAATGGTTTAGTTTTGAAGTGTATGAAAAATATATAGAAATACAACATCTCAGGTTTGGTTATAGAAATTCAAAGGATTTATGATGGTTTAGTTATTTATTAGTTGTAGCCAAAACTAACCCAGCTAATTAAGCTGACTTTATTTTAAAACTCAAATTTTCATGTTTTTTTCTCTGTTAAATCCTAATTGCAGGCAAGCTCCACTGAGGATTAGTCAAAAGTTGATATCAACTACTCCTCCTGTCAAACTGCTTATCTCACGTAATTATGTAAGCCACCACTATCGCTAATTTTCTCGAATGGTCAGTGCCTAATAAGTTTGTCAAATATACTTTAAAAAGGAAAAGAAACTTTTTTATGTGTCAAATAAACTGTCTGAGACTTTCCACAAAACAAAAAAAGAACTTGAAACCTTTACACATCAATAAATCAACCATATAGTTAAAAATATTGTGCGATTGACCTTTATCCGTTTTAACTACACCCTCGTTCCATTTTAAGAAGAAAGAAAAAAAAAATTGAAACTTGTGATCTAAACCAAGTCATAATATTTTGTGTGGCCATAAATTATCTTATTAATGATAAAGTTTACAGGTTAAAGTTAAATTATCAATTAAAAAGTTGTCATTCTTTTTGTAACTGACTAGAAAAGAAATATTGTCACATAAATGTACAATACTATTATAGGTTGTGAAGGACAGAAGAAACTCTAGTAGTGTTTATTTTTTTTCTCTTGTTGTTAGTATACATTAAAATATCCCTTATAGTAGATAATCTGTCTTAGTAAATTTTCATGTTACTAATTATACTTATTTCGAATGGTTACTTATAGCTATCTTTTAATTGACATAATAATATTCAAAAAATAATTATTCTCTAGGTATTTTAATTAAATTCTTGAATTAATAAAATATGTAAAGGTCTATGGATATCTGTTTTATTTGATTGTTGAGCTTTTTTTATTTTATTATTAAAACCGCCTTGTGGTGGCAGAGGTTTGGCATCGATCCCTACCATATAATTATCGAGCTAAAAGTCTGGAAAATTATCAGGTAGTGATGGATAATGGCATTGTCCAAGTTACCCTAACTAATCCAACTGGAGCCATTGCTGGGGTGCGTTACAATGGTATTGATAATGTCCTAGAGCACGACTTTAAAGATACAAATAGAGGGTAAGCTATAATTTTGAAAAATAAATTTCGATCTCTTATTATCTCTATAGTTAATTAAGGTTTGGAAATGCATAACTTTCTCAATTTATAAATAATGTAGATATTGGGATACCGTGTGGCAACGTCCTGAAGACAAGGGTCACACTTTTGATATGTAAGTTAATTACTTCTTTTCTAATTTATGATATTAATATTATTTGCTTGTAAGGTGTTTAGCAAAGGTTGTGGTAGAGTAGTAAATACTTATTCATTCTTAATTAGAGATCTCGAGTTCAAGCTCTGAGTATGAAGTCACCTTTGTTAAGGAAAGACTTATACCTCGAATGTGGGACTTTTCGACGCGAATCCAAATGTAGTTCGGTCCTCAATGCAGGTACTGGACACTGGGGTTTGGAAAAAAAGAAAACATAGAGATGAAAATATATACATTATATTTTTGAAATGCCAATTAATATAAATATTTGCAGGCTTTTAGCGACAAATTTCAGGGTTATTGCACAAAACGAAAACAAAGTCGAAGTTTCTTTCACAAAAACATGGAATCCCTCCATTAACAGTTCTGCCCATGATCTTCCTCTAAACATCGACAAAAGGTAAGCTTGTACCTTAATTATCAAGTTAAAGTGGTAGTAATAAAAAGGTTTATTTTGTATAAATACAAAAGAATAAAGATAAACTAAACTTTGCAGGTTTGTGATGTTGCGTGGGAGTTCTGGATTTTATTCATATGGGATATTTGAACACTTGAAGGGCTGGCCCAGTCTAATTATTGAGGAAGCAAGGATTGCCATCAAGCTCAGAAGGGCTTTGTAAGATTCCAATTATTTATACTTCTCATTATGTGATTTAATTTTTATAGAAGAATTAGAGGGGTGAATTGGAGCAACGGTAAAATTGTCTCTATGTGACCTATAGGTCACGGGTTCGAGCCGTGGAATTTGCCAATAATATTTGCATCAGAGTAGGTTGCCTACGTCACACCCCTTGGAGTGCGACCCTTCCCCGGACCACGCGTGAACGCGGGATGTTTCATGCATCGGGCTACCCTTTTAATTTTTATAGAAGAATTAAGTCGCCCACCCATCTCTTATATTGAAAATAGCTGACGGATATAGTATAATCCATGCATAATATATGTATAATTATGTATAATCAGTGTATAATCTATGTATATCGGTTAGAATAAATAAAAAGTGAATCTAACTGGCTATTTTTGTAAAACTTTCTAATTTATATTTGCTCATAGTACATACACTGTGTATATAAGCTAATTAAACTGAGATTATTATATAATTGAGTTGTAATTACAATTATTGTTAATTAAACTGATCACAAGTTGGAATTTGTTTTTGTTGAATTTCCAATAATTAGGTTTCACTATATGGCCATATCAGATGATATGCAAAGGATGATGCCAACAGATGAAGATCGCTCTGCTGGCCAAGTCCTCGACTACAAAGAAGCTGTTTTACTAACACATCCATCAAATCCTAAACTTAAGGGGGAGGTAAGAAACTTAATATATTCAACTAAATCTATAAATATCTTTACACTATCAGTATACATAAATTAAACTCGAACTCATTTTGTTTAATTACCATCTCCGTTTTACCATTAGGTGGATGACAAATACCAATATTCGTTCGAAAATAAGGATATCAAAGTACATGGATGGGTTTGTAATACACCACACGTAGGGTTTTGGGTGATCACATCTAGTAATGAATACTGTAACGGCGGACCAATGAAGCAAGATCTTACTTCTCATGCTGGTCCTACGTCCTTAGCAGTAAGTGCTCCTTAACAGGAATTTCTACGATATACTTTTTTGAAGCATTCGATATTCAAAATTTACTAAATCTACTAAATTAAATTTGCGTAGGATAAATCCATTAAGGGCGATAAAGCCCTCCCTATATATCGAGTGAATCTTTATTTCTGAACTCGAAATAAAAACCTTTAATTAAGAGCGGAGAGATTCTAACTATCCCACCATATCTCTGATACAGGTATTTTTCAGCGGGCATTATGCAGGGCCAGAGTTGGGAGTTACACTTAAAAAAGGAGAGGCATGGAAAAAGGTTTTTGGCCCTGTTTTCTTCTATCTTAACTCGGACTCTGGTGACAACCACCGTACACTTTGGGAAGATGCTAAAAGACAGGTAAATTCATTCTCTTATAATTAAACAGTATCACATGAAACTAGTATACTCCAATTTAGAAATAATTTAACCATATATAAATATATATATTTTATATTCAGTGTATTTTAACATGTTAAACAAAAGCAACTAAACCTGCAAGGGTGACCGAGTTGGTTGAGCAGGAGATCCCCCAATAGGAGGTCGCAGGTTTGAAACCCCCCGCATGCTTTCTTGGTTGAGCTCTTTGCATGGGGCTTGCCTAGTGCAATTTACCTTTCCAGTGTAGTTTACGAGCTATTACGCTGGAGCAAAGTTTACCCAAAGCGCACCCTGAAGGGTAGCGGACTAGCGGTTGGGGTTCCCTAGTTTAAAAAAAATTAAAAATTTGAAAAAAAAAACAATTACTACTATGAAAATGCTAATTTGTGAATTTTATTCCTCTGCAGATGCAGGAAGAAACTGCAAAATGGCCATACGATTTCCCAGAATCTCTTGACTATCCCCATGCTAATGAACGGGGTATAGTTAGAGGTCAATTATTCTTACGAGACAGGTACTAATTTAATTAATTCCTATGTTGCTATTGCTTCACAAGGAGTAGAGATTTATTTTCCTAGCAGTTGTAAAGTATTATGAGAAAAATATCAAAAGGGTTTTGACAGTTAATCTTGTTTAGGTACATAAACAAAGATCCTTTCTATGCAAAATCTGCATATATTGGATTAGCTCTTCCTGGACATGTTGGATCATGGCAATATGAGACCAAAGTAAGCCATGTTCAATTTTTACAAAGCCATAACATAAGGCAGATAATCTGCCACGACCCTACGATATAGAAAAATACATAAATAATATTTATATTGTAAGTGTATGTAAGATAAAAAATTTCTTTTTACTGCTCAGGGTTATCAATTTTGGACTCAAACAGACAAGACTGGACAATTCAAGATCACTGGTGTTAGATCTGGAACTTATAGCTTGTATTCTTGGGTCCCTGGAATTATTGGAGATTACAAGTACAACTATGATATAAATGTCAAACAAGGTCATTTTCTTCTTTAATTTCCTTTTTTTCCTTCTCTATCTTAAATTACTTCTCCTATCCTGAATATTCGTAGTTATTTTGACAAACTGAATTTGTTTCAAAGTATTTAACATTTTAAAAAAATAAAAATCCATTTTCTACTTTTTCAAATTTACCCTCATTGTTCCAATTAGTGAAATGACCATCGAGCGAGATGTCAAAAGAAAGAATAGTGTCTTTTTAATGGGCCAAAATTTAACCTATATACACTGTTATTACAAAGATTTTACATTATCCGATCCGTATAGTCTAACTTGTCATATCAAGTTAATTAATTACTATTTTTATCACATTACCAACTAATATTTATTATAGCTATTTATCCATGATTATGTTATGAGTAGACCGTGTATGTACATGTTGTTTTGTACAATCAGTGCATAGAAATTAAACTGATACAGACACCAATATTTTTACAGGAAGTGATATTAACTTAGGTCACCTAGTTTTTTATCCTCCAAGAAATGGTCCAACTCTATGGGAAATAGGCATTCCTGATCGAACTGGTGCAGAATTCTTTGTGCCTGATCCATTGCCTGGTCTCAGAAACCAGTTGTTCAACAATAATATAACACAAACGTCAGTCTCCCCTTTACCCTAAATTTGCTTCTTCTTTTTAATATATATATATATATATATATATATATATATATAGAGTTTCATGCATCAAAAACTAAATTTGATTATTGATTACTGTCAACAGATTTAGACAATATGGTTTGTGGGATCGTTACACTGATTTATATCCAAATAAAGATTTGGTATATAAAGTTGGTGTTAGTGATTATAAAAAAGATTGGTTCTTTGCTCATGTAACCAGGTGACTAATTGATATTTTCCTCTCCACTTTTAATTAATTCAATTAATTATTATTTTTATTTTTTTTAAGTTTTTGAACTTTTATATTGCATTAATGCAGGAGAACTAGAAGCAAGAATTATATACCAACAACATGGCAAATTTTATTTGGACTTCCAAGTGTTGATCCAAAGGGAACTTATACACTACGTATCGCATTGGCTTCTGCAACCTATTCACATTTGCAGGTACATAAGTTATAATCCAGATTAAATTTCTCATTAACAATTTCTCCATTTACCAAAATTCTAGATAAACAAAGAAAAAAATAAGAGAGAGAAGTGGAGCTAGAGTTCTTACTACGAATTCTGCGAAATTCAATAGTTTTAGCCAAAATCTTATATTCGTGTTAAGAAATTCAATAATTATGTATAAATAATTTATCCGATAATCCGTTTTTACTAAAATCCAGAAGCCGAGAACATCAAGTATCTACTTTTTGACTGAATGGCCAACTATGTAACTTTCGCTTTCTTTTGAGTCAACGTTACTTTTTACCCTTAAAGGTATTTTGGATAATAACATATTTTGGTCAATTTTTGCAATTTTAGGGGAGGATCAATGACCCATCTAAACCAAGGCCTCATTTTGAAATTCCAGCAATTGGAAGGAGTAATGCAATAGCTAGACATGGAATACATGGACTATATAGGCTCTTCAGTTTCCAAATTCAAGGGTATGAACTACAAAAGGGAGAAAATATAATATATTTGAAGCAAATAAAAAGTGGTAATCCTTTCTATGGACATCACTATGACTACATTCGTTTGGAAGGCCCTCCACCAAAAAATTGATTTCAAGTGAATATTATACTACATAATTAGGAGGATTAATTACAAGTTTACTGCAATATGTTTATATTCTTTTTTTTTCTTATAAATTTTTTCAAGCTGATGTATACATGATTAGGAGCTGTGGGTTATAGGAACATTCAGATTCTGTATTGATTCTATTCTTTCTAATTGATTATTTCTGGCAAGGATGGTTTTCTGAACAGTAATTATTATTACCTTGAAAATATTTTGTAAGCATATATAAATTGTAGATTACTAGTATGGTATGTTTTTCCTTTCACATTACTTTTATATTTCTTGAGGAAAGATATTATACAAGTAGAGAGTCTAGGATGCTTTATATCAATTGAAAAGGAACGTTAGTTACTCAAGATTAGATAAAAAGAGATAACACCTTCTTTTTTTTTGTATAACCATCTAGATTTCAGTATCACGCGCCCGATTACTCTAAATTCTTGAGAAATATCAGAAATAGTCAGATTTATAACTGGTAATAAAAATTAGTCACAGTTTAAAAAGTAATCGAAATTTTGTCACGTTTTTATGTAAAGATAAATCTTAACAAAAATACCCTTAAAACTCCGAAAAAATTCCAACATAATATGTTGGAGTTCGAATTTTTTACATATGAGATTCCGACATAATGTGCTGGAGTTTTAACATAATATGTTGGAAGTTTATCCACAGGAGCTCCGTAATCTAGCATATTGTGTTGGAACTAAGTGTGTTGGAGTTCCAACATAATATGCTGGAAATTTATATGCAGGAGCTCTATAATCTAGTATATTGTGCTAGAACTTTTCGTGTTTCAGCAAAATAGTGATTATTTTTAATTGACTTTACAAATAATGGCTATTTTTCAATTACCAATTTAAAAACTGGCCAGTACGCGCTATTTTCATAAATTCTTTCCGTATAGGCTCATTAAAGGGAGAAGCGGTTGAATATGAATTTTAGAAAGAACTGTTCCTACAAGTATAGAAAAAGTCCTTAATTCTCGCTAGAGCTTAAAATATTCATCAATTTATCTGCAATTCATAAACGCGCTTTCCTTTCTGTTGGTATATTTTTCCCTTACTTTTGCTTCTAGTTTTTTAATCATTTGAGTTAAGAGAAAATTCAAACTTATCTCTATTCATTGATTGTTTTGTTTGTATATGAACCAAAAATTTTGTAATCAGAATTAAATTAACCTAGAGACGATCGAAAATGCTCATATTTTATACAGAAAATGGCCAAAAATACCCCTAAGGTATTGAAAATGGTTCAATTTTGCTCTCTTTCCACCTATTGGGCCATAAATACCGTTAGCGTTAGTTTTTGGCTTCAAACTTACCCCTACATCTAATAGAAGGGCCAATAATACCCCTAACGTATTGAAAATGGCTCAAAAATACCCTCCGTTAACCTTTTGGTCCGCAATTGCCCCTAACGTTTGTTTTTGGGCTCAAACTTACCCTTCTATCTAACAGAACTAACCTGATCAATTTTTTGACTTTAACTTCGCCATGTGGCATTTTCTTAATCTGCCACGTGTATTATTTATATTAAATAAACCCACTTGTATCTTTTAAAATTTTCAACGATCCTGATTCGCTCCTATATATTTGGACGGTCGGCTAAAAATAATTACAGTTGCTAGTTAAATATATAAAAAATATACATTGATTATATATAAAAATATGTATATTATACATTAATATTTTAATATATATTTTACACGATATTATTTTTAAGAGAAATTATATGGTGTAGTTTTTTCTATTAATTATGATCTATAACTCGAATTTATTAAGCAAATATGACAATGGAACGATATTTTTTTTTAATATTTTAGCTCTATCGTTATATATTAAAACACTATTAGTTCCCATTGAAAAGATCATGTGAAGTCCATTAATGTGCTAAGAGTTGGATATGTATATAATTGAAGGTTTTAAATAATTTTCTTTACATCTGTTTCTTTGCTTCTCTTTTAGAATCATATAAATAGAACATTATCATTTTTTTGTTTGAAAATTAAAATTTATGTTTGTTAAACTTGTTAAGATTTGCAAAATTTGAAGGGAAAACTACACCGTATAATTTCTCCTAAAAATAATTTCATGTAAAATATATATTAAAATATTAATGTATAATATACATATTTTTATATATAATCAATTTATATTTTTTGTATATTTAACTAGCGAATGTAATTATTTTTAGCTGACCGTCCAAATATATAGGAGCGGGTCAGGGTCGTTGGGTATTTTAAAAGATACATATGGGTTTATTTAATATAAATAATACACGTGGCGGATTAAGAAAATGCTACATGGCAAAGTTAAAGTCAAAAATTGACCAGGTTAGTTCTGTTATATATAGGGGTAAGTTTGAGCCCAAAAAAATCGTTAGGGACATTTGCGGACCAAAAGGTTAACGGATGGTATTTCTGAACCATTTTCAATACGTTAGGGGTATTGTTGACCCTGCTAGATATAGGGGTAAGTTTAAGCACAAAAACTAACGTTAAGGACATTTATGGCCCAATAGGTAGAAGGATGGCAAAATTGAGCCATTTTCAATATCTTAGGGGCATTTTTGGCCCTTTTCTGTATAAAATATGAGCATTTTCGATCGACTTTAGGTTAATTTAATTCAGATTACAAAGATTAAACACAAAAAGGGGGAAATCATAGAATTATTGCATTTTCGATCGACTTTAGGTTAATTTAATTCAGATTACAAAGATTAAACACAAAAAGGGGGAAATCATAGAATTATTGCATTTTCGATCGACTTTAGGTTAATTTAATTCAGATTACAAAGATTAAACACAAAAAGGGGGAAATCATAGGATTATTGCTCCACAAGTTAAAGTGCCTTGAAAATGTGACCTACTGAGCTACCGAAAATGTGTTAAACATTTCCTAATACATGATTTATGGCCTCAAGCCGCCACTGAATAGATTGTTTACGTTTCCTTTTTCCTTTAACGCCAAAGTAAATTTTCCAATAGCTTTATCACGGCAAAAATTCTTTATTTAGCACTTTATTTTAGCGCTCTTTATCGATACTAATCTGTTCATGAAATTCTTGTCAGTTGTTGTATCTTTATGTAATCTCATTTCTAAATCAATATTTGCACTCATATAATAAAATCCTCGTTGGTTGTTTCATGAGATCTAGGTTTAATACTAAAATTTCTCCAAGCTCTATTACCTTCATTAGCTAATTTACTATTACATAGTATTAGAAGCAGTATTAAACAATTTATAACAAAAACGAAATACCCTATCCAAGTCTTTAGAATAAACGAACCAACGTCTTTTCATGCCTTTCTCCACTTTTAAATATAATGCTTAGGAGAAAAATATCTTACAGAAAAATTATATCAGTAACTCTAATTGCTTTCTTTTCCACTAATAGATCACAACTTCGAAACTACCAAATGCCATTACGAAAGCCACTGATCATGCAGTGTACCGTTAGACTAGTAATATACAACTCTAGTCTATGAATTCTATTCTCCCTTTTTAGGATAAAAATTAGATAATTAAGGAAATATGAATTAAAAAGATGGGACCTTGAAAGTAAAATGATGATTAATAAAAGTTAGAGATTACTCTTTTAAGTCTCAATTGAAAATAGAAATGCCCCAAAAGAATATCTACTCTGCATTATAAAGAGAAATATTACTGTACCATTCATTTTACAATATACATCTTTCGAAAGAGTGAATTTGCTTGAATCTTTCAGGAGCACAAAGATGTCAAAAAACGATTTTAGTCCATTTAAGTGGCCAGAGAGTAATATTAGCTAGAGTTACCTCATTCCATCAGTTAAATATTACTACTAATAATAAAGAAAGTTGTTTTAACTTTTGTACAAGGCAGCTTATTTCCTTTTAATCATTTAGTATTCAAAACTCACTAAACCGACTAATTTAGATTCACGCTGCGTAACGCATAATGAGAGAGGACACACTAGCTCCCTACCAAGAATTTCTTTATTCCCAAGACTCAAAAATTAATTCCAATTTTGTAAACGAAATATTTACCAAATAACCTGTTTTAACGGTTAAGATACCCTTCAAAGTCATTTACTACCAATGTATAATAATAGTTACATCCTTTAGAAATGATATGTTACGTCTGATATCTTAACAGCACGGTTAGTTAATTATAGCAATAAATATTAAACTATAGGAGATTAATCGTCCTGTGATCCTTTCATAGAACACTATTATTACTAATTCGAAAGTAATAGATTAACGTGTATCACTGCGTCCTCATAAAGGTCGTGCCTAGCTACAATTGCAAAATTAAACTTTTTTATTTCCTTTCAATCACTGTCATTAAAAAAGCAAAAACAAAAACTAATGTAACGCCAAAACCCTACAACCTCTCATCGTCGACTCTCTCTTAGGGTTTTGTTCTTGAGATTGCTACAGAGAGAGGATTGGTACATTGTTGGACAAGGTGCAGAGCCATCCATTTCTGCAACCATGCAATCCACTTATCATAGTGAAGATGACAAAGTAGTGAAGAATGGAGAGGGCAATGATGGTTCAGAGGTTGTTGATGATGCAGAAAAGAACCAACAGAAGAGTGGGAATGCAGAAAGCAGTGATGGTTCAAAGGTCGATGCATCAGATGATGCAGAAAAGAATAATTTAGAGGAGAATGAAGGGAAGCCTTCTAAGGAAATTGAAGATGGTTCAGAGAGCCTGAACCGTGCCTTTCCTCGAACTTGGTGCTTTAACAATGGATTTGAAATAAAGGAGTTGGAGCAGAAAAAAGCCCTCCCAGGAAAGAAGGTTCAGGTACGATATAGTTTGGAGCTGGATAAGGGCAAAACAAACAAAAGAAACAGAACCCTAAATTTTAGAATAGGTGTTGGTGGAACCATACCGTGTATTGATGAGGGTGTAGTTGGAATGTAAATTGGGGACAAAAGGAGAATTTCAACCGATGCGGCGCGACCATGGTGTGAAGTTTTCAAGCCTTGTGATAGTGATGAGGAAGAGATATCACCCGATTCAGTTATGGCATTTATAGTTGAGATGCTACGTATCGAATGATTTTACCATTGAGTAAAGGTAGTAAAGCATGAGGTTCCTGGAAGATGCACCATTGGAACAACCCGAGAAGAACTAAGGAATTTTATGATATGCTTGAGATAGGTGTTGTGGTGGAAAGTAGCTTTTCAACTACCTTTGCTTCAGCATTAACTTGGCTTATATGGTAAATGACAATTGATCTGGTTTTAGATGTTACTTAAGTTTACTTTTTTATGTTAAGAAATGCGACAAAATTTATAGTTCCCTTTCATTTCAAATAGTTCTTGAATTTTGCTGAGGATTGCTTTCACTTGGGAAATGTAATGCTTTTGAAATTTTATAACTGAGCATAGTTTATCGATAGTTAAAAAAAAAACATTGTCATTAGATTTAGTGTCTCGTACTATCGTGATCAGTTAAATAATGTTTGTCGTACTGGTTTATTTAAATATTCCCCTAAGAAATACGTCGAAGCTCTTTATATATTTGTGATTTAGTCATTAACAAAGCAAAGAAAAACATACATATACTAAACTCTTTAAGCCTTGGCTACTGAACTTATGAAATCAATGACTGATGGAGTTGATAAGTTTCACATAGCCATGTTTCCTTGGCTAGCTTTTGGGCATATTATACCATATCTTGAGTTCTCCAAATTAATAGCTAAAAAAGGTCACAAAACCTACTTCATTTCCATCCCAAAAAATATTGATCGCCTCCCAAAACTCCCCCTTGAATATCCCAAGAAAACTTCTCCTGATTGGGTTATTCATGATTTTGCACCGTATTGGTTAGCACCAATTACAACTAGGTTAGGGATTTCTAGGGGTATCAATGCTTGGTTTTTGGCTATTTTGGGTCTACGTACATGATGCTCACTGGTTCGACTAATCCACCACCAACACCAGAGGAGTTAATGGTGCCACGGAAATGGATACCATTTCAAACAAAGATGGCTTTTAATCGCCACGAGGCTAAGTGGATAATCGAGGCCGTGCAAAAGAATGTGTCTGGCGTGTCAGACCTTTATCATACCAAGATGTTGACCTAATTATTATATGTCAGTGTCACGAGTTCGAAGGCCAGTGGCTACAGTTACTGGAGGATCTTCACCACATGCCTATACTTCCTGTGGGGCTAATGTCAACTTTATTGCAAAATAGCAGTGATGATAACGATGAAACTTTGGACAATGCATTAAAGAATGGCTAGATAAGCAAACCAAAGGCTCAGTAGTTTATGTAGCCTTAGGTAGTGAAGTGACTATTGGTCCGAGGGAAATCGGCGAGTTGGCTAATGGGATGGAGTTGTCTGGATTACCATTTTTGGGGTTCTGAGGAAGCCATTGAACTCGAGAGACATGGATTATATTGGACTGCCCAATGGGTTCGAGGAGAGAATATACTAAGAAAGAGGTGGGTACCTCAGTCGAAGATACTAAGTCACGAGTCGGCGGATTCTTAACTCATTGTGGATGGAGCTTGATAATAGAAGGGCTAATATTTGGTCACCCATTGATTATGTTGCCTTTTTGGTTGATCAAGGTCTGAATGTAAGAATCATAAGAGGACAGGGAAATTGGTATAGAAGTACCAAGAGGATGATGGGTCATACACAAGGGACTGAGTGTCCAGTTAAGTGAAGTTGGTAGTGGTGGAAATGGATGAAAAGAAAATTAGAATGTAAGCAAAAGAAATCAGTTCAATATTTGGGAACAGAAAGTTACATGACAAGTACGTAGGAGATCTAATTCAGTTCTAGGAAGATCATGGAAAGATGTCCACTGGGTCAAATTCTTGAACTCAATGTAAAACCAAAATAAATGGCATGATCTCTTTACCTTTTCCTTCTTTTTTGATTCTAGTTGTCAATATTTTTCTTATTTTTTCCTATGACGTCTTAGAGATATGATGGTTTCATGTTGGTGTATAATCAAGCTGCTATGTTTAGATTGTTCAGTCATCTGATTCAAACAATATTGAATCAGTTGCGCTGGTAGAATAGTTTGAGGATTTGTGCTCCTCAGCTGAAGATACTGAAATATGAATTAGTTGGTAGTTTCTCAACTCACAAAGGATGGAGCTCTATCATAAAGTATTAAGTACCATTTTTGAGGTCAGCTAACTTTGTTACCATTCCGGGCGGATATCGGTTGAATGCAAGTTTTGCGTACAAAAGTGTGGCCAAATGGTCATCAGAATCAGTGAAAAACATCAAAGACTAGCCTGTATTGCTTGCTCCAAGAAGAATATATTCTAAAGCAACTAAAGTAGCAGAATCACTAAGCAATCAATACACAATGCCTTATTCAACAAAATAAAGAATTTGCGTGTTAATATTTGACAAACAAATGAACTGCAGAAATTTCTCATTCTGAGTGTGAAAACGTAAGCAAGGCAAGAATCAAAGAAAGCAAATTCATAGAGTGGGTTGTTTCTTTTTTTTCTGGTTCTCTTTTGTTTATTTTAATAAATAAAACAGGGTATGGCTGCGTATAATAAACCCTTGTAGTCCGACCCTTCCCTGGACCCCGCACATAGCAGGAGCTTATTGCACCGGGCTGTCCTTTTCTAGAATAAGGACTACGTCAATTTATCTTATGAAAGTCCTAAATTGAAAGTTATATTTTTAAGCAATCAAAATAAGTTTCTTCACCTACTTATTTTCTATGTTTATTGGAATACATTGGCAAAATGCTTAGCCGAGATGATGATCCATCTGCTTAAATTTTGGTAGTTTGAAATATAGAATTCTTTAAAATAGTGGCAGAAAAACTCTATGCGCATGAGCACGTATTATAATATGCTTGCTGAAGAGTATTACAAGGCTTCATGAGTCGATACAATAAAATTATACAAATACTACATATGCACATTTCCAGAGGAACAAAGCCCAACGACAAAGTAATATGGTGTACACCTGATCACAGCAGCCATCCTGATGACAAAAGTCTAATGCGCCTAAATTTTGTTATTGCAGTCACATGCACATAAATGATTTAGCTAAACAATGTAACAAAACAAGGAGTTCACAAAAGTAACAAGTAAACAGCTAATTTAAGAACCCGTCTACTGCTACTCCAATACTTACTAACCATCGGCACAATGCTATTTTTGAGGAGACATTAACTTATTTTCTTCAGAATCATGCTTCATTGTTGCATCTCCGCCCATCAATTCCTGGAAGCCTTCAACTTTTACAGGGGGAGCCCTGGCCATTCCCGTGTTCCTGTAGAAAATCAAGTATGATAATACTGCATGTGATGCATTTTAACGCTTACAGTTCTATTGCATATAATATTACTTACGGTGACTGCACTTGCGGAATTTGAAGAGAAGCCACCGGCCTAAACTGATTTGTGTTTTGAGCATAGGGAGATGACATAGCTGCAATTTGTTGCTGGCGAAACTGCTGCATCTGGGGCTGTCTCGCAGCCATTGCATTAAAGGCATTATTATCCATTGGAAAATCAGTTGGATGTTCAAGCTTGACTTGGACCACTGGCCTGTCCTTGTCGATGTTCATATTCATACTCATACCAGGACGAGGTGTTAACTGCTGGCGCCTTCGCATTCTCTCCAACAGCAGCTGCTGTTGCTGAGGAGTCAGATTTTGGGAATTGATCATCTGCTGCATTTGAGGATGCATTCTTAATATCTGCATATAACCCAAGATGTATTTATAGATGATCTAACAAAAGAGTGAGAATATCATTAGGCAAATTTAAAATATGAAGGACATCTGGTATGTGGAATAAAGAACAAGATAAATCATCCAGCCTTATCCCGCAATTGGTACACCTCTGCAACAGGTCTCCAGATAGATTCTTTTTTTCATTTTATTAATGACGGTGGTGTCCAAGCCAGCTTGCACGCACCTCTATTCCACGAGATATATCAATGGCAGGTCTCAAGATAGATTTATCTGAGCTACTACCTTATGCCCCTAATATGTAAAATCCAGGCAAACCTCTTTCCCATTTCTTCACTTCCTTAAATCCCCTTTTCCTGTTCTCTCACTACAGCTCTCCATCTCTCCTCCCTTTCCATTAGCCCCCCAAAATCCTCTCCCTCTCCTGACATTGCAAACCCCCTATCACTTCAACCTTTCCCTTACCAAATACCCCCCCACCCANTCCAACAGCAGATACAATCTATAACCTGTTCCCCCTATGGCTTCAGCACCCCCAACTCTTCTGCAATTTCTTTGTTTTCCCGGAAAACATTAAGCAGCATTTCGCAACTAGTTTTTTCTCAAATCATGTTCGGGTAATGTCTTGTTTCACTAGATATTCTTTGTTTTCTGCATTCCGTTGATAATCTATTTTCTGCAAATTAGCTTAAGTTTTTTCTTAATCATTTATTTGCTTCTTAATTTTGTAGTGCTGCAATTTTTTTTCTAAAATTTGCCTATATAATTGGAAGTTTTTCTATTTGGAACTGGATTCCTGAGACGGAAAATGAATTATGAGAAAAAAATTGTATATTGTGAAGTGAAATAAATGAGTTTGTTGCAAGAGTACTTTGGAACTTAAAATTTTATTCTGACATCATATTAAACACTAGATGAATGACCCCTAAAAATTCAAAAGGGATCTTTCTACTTATTTTGTCCAGTATGATAATTATACATATACAAGAAAAAATAAAGAAACAAAATAGAAAAATGCATCTAGCACTACAAAGTTAGATTGATCTCCTGAGAAAGCTGTTCGCTTACCAATAAAAGAATATTCATGCAAACCAAACAACTCTATACTTGTTAGCATAATCTTATAGCCATTTGCAGATATGAACAGCATTATAGCAAGAATGACGATATTAATATGAGTTGATGGATACCACAGACAAAAAACCGATGTACCTGCTGTGTCAGCTGTGACTGCCGAATGGCAGCTTGATGCTGAGGTTGCAACTGCTGTTGGAATCCCTGTACTTGCTGCTGAGTTTGCACAAAATTTCTAGTATTATCCTTCACAAGTTCAGATAACACTGCAAGATTACTGCCAATACAAGGAAAATGACTTAGATACTGAAAGGGGAGCGAGCGAGAAAAACCATTGTTCTTTTATGAGGCCATAGAGAGAGCATATCAAGATTATCAATGTGTGTATATATGTATAATTTACACACACACACACACAAGGTAGTAGGTTTTTTTTTGTGTGTGCGTGTGTGTGTACATATATATAGAGAGAGAGATCAAAATTTCAGATGGCAATGGTTTTCAATATATGGGTACAATTGGTATGACTATTGCGTCATTTGCATGAGTGAGAACTTCCTAGAACCACGGAGCACAAGGAGAATAATCCATGAAACAACTCAACAAAATCGCATCTGTCTTAGCTAAGTTCAATAACAATTGATTGGAGTATCAGCTCCAATTTCATCTGAAGCATATTCACTCTCATAGTATAAAGCACCAAAAAGAAAACGGCAGAAAAACGAACGTGAAAAGTCTCTTGGAAAGGGATGAGCTTTTACATTTTCACAAAAGAGGAAAAAAGAGTCAATTACTGAGATCATACTTGTATGACGTATATGATTTGATCTGCAACAGACATCAAATGCAGACACTTCAGCTATAAAATGTAATCCGGTAATCCGCCCTCGGAGTCAAGAAAAAGTTGTAGTAATAGTTCTAACACCAGCAATTCCCAATTAAGGTAGGTAAAGACTAAAGACTATACTGAAATTGTTTCTTTGTTGGCATGATGGGGCTTCCAAGTGCTTCAATAATCCAAGAGCAAACCAACTTTTGTACAGAAAACCTCAATGATTAAGTTTTGCAATGAACTTAAGTTTTGAAACCACATTGATAAAGCTGTTGGAGCAACATCTTTCACCTAACTATATTTTTCTCAAGCAAAATCAAGATCCCTGAAAAGATGTTGCTCTGATATCTTTATCATTGTGGATTTCACATACTTCAGCGAGCAACAATTTCATGAGAAATACACAACCTAAGAGAATAAAGTGTGAAGTGCATGGTTAATCACTAGGGAAGTTCTTTGTAAACAAAGCAACATTACTATGATGTTCTTTGGCAAAAATGTTGCATCAATGAGGACCTGATTTTCATGCCTTAATACTCGAAGGCCAATTTTAGGAGCTTAAAACTTGCAGTGTAGATGAAGAATACCCAATGGATCATACTTCATGAAGAAAAAGGAAAACAGAGAATATAACAAAGTGAAGAGGAACAAAGCATATATCTGAAAATATCATATGAAACTGTGCACCACCAACCTATGTCCAGCTGTATGGAGAAACATCTGCAGAAGCTCCATCGCTGAACACTGCTTTCTGTAGCTATCAGAAAGGAGTTTCAACGTAGCACCTAATTTGTGAATATGGCAACTCAGGAATTTAGTCAAGACTTCTAGTGGAACTTCAGATGAGCCTTCGAAACCCACATTTCCCAGCAATTGTGCCATCACTTTTTGAGATAACTTTAATGCTTGCTCTTCACCAAGACATTTCCTAGTCCTTTCACCACCACTCTTTCCATGATTTTGATTACTGCCTTGTTCCATGCTCAGGTACTCTGGTCTAATACCAAGCCTCTCAATCATAATAGGGCTAATAGGGCTCTTGGTCATTATTTGGGGTAAAGTATCTAGAACCCCGTTGAACTCCACTTTCTGGTTCTCTTTCAATTGACTTGTTCGCATGACTGCACTTTCAGGAACACAATTCATAGCAGACATTGTTTCAGGAAAAAATGGGTTGTCATTATCTAAAACTGAGTTTGATTGCAGGTTTGATCCATCATCCAACATGCCAAAACCAATGTTCTGATCTACCTTAAACGCTACTCGCCGTCTCTTGTGATTCTCAACAATTCTAAGATAAAAGGACATCTGTTCAGGTGTTCGTTTTTCTGCTTCCCTGTCACCTAACTGTAACCTATATGATTTACTTGCTTTGTATTTTTCAAAGAACTGGTTATACCATGTTTCAGGTAAATCATCAAGCTTCAACCTCTGCGACATAGCATCAGCTTCTGACTCGCTATATCTTGAACCAACACCAAAATTTGACTTTGATTGGACCTGATAATATGTAGGACTGTGAGTCATGCTGTTAAAAACACGAACAAATCAGAAAAAGCAACCAAACAAAATCATGGAGTTCAGAGCAAGAGCCATACTCCGTCTTCTAACGAGCCGTTAAACTAAAGAGAGAGGTGACACTTTCCTTTAGGTGACAATAATAGTTTCAGCCTTTTCTCATCTCCCTTACTTCATTAAGTCAACAACAACAACCCAGTAGAATCCCACTAATGGGGTCTGGGGAGGGTAGTGTGTACGCAGACCTTACCCCTACCCCAAAGAAGTAGAGAGGCTGTTTCCGAAAGACCCTCGGCTCAAGAAACAAAAAGACAACGACAAGAGGAGACAACATNTTGTGCCCGCACATCCACCTCAACATCATCATTTCTGCTACTTTCATCTTCTGGATATGTGAGTTCTTAACGGGCCAACACTCAACCCCATACAACATGGCTGGTCTAACCAGCGCTTTATAGAACTTACCTTTGAGTATTGATGGCACTCTCTTGTCACACAGGACTCCAGATGCTAACCTCCACTTCATCCATCCTACCCCAATACGGTGTGTGACATCCTCGTCGATCTCCCCTCCCCCCTGGATAACCGAACCAAGGTACTTGAAGCTGCCTCTACTCGGAATGACCTGTGATTCAAACCTCACATCCACGCCCACTTCCCCTGGCTCAGCGCTGAATTTACACTCCAGGTATTCCGTCTT